CTCTGCCTGCTGACAAGTTCCACAGGGTCCCAGAAGTCCTCACTGCTCAAGAGAGGCAGGATTCTATGCTTTCCTTCCCAAAATCTACCATGGAAGTCCATCTCCATCTCTGGGCAGGCCACGGTTTCACTATTGCTGGGCCTCAGGGCTCTGAAGTAGGAGAGCCTAGAACGACAGTCCGACTCAGCGGTTCCAGAGGGGCTCCAGGTTTTGCAATCAAAACCAACCCTATGTAAAGATTTGTAGCCAAGAGTCCTCTGCTGGAAGCCCAAAAGGATTTTTTTTTTTTTTTTTTTGACTGAGGTCAAAGCCCTTTGGGGGCTCTGCTGAGTCTAGGTATTTGAGAACACATTCCCTGGGGGTGGGTGGCTGTCTTCCATGACACGCTGAGGGGGAGGGGGACCAGCCTCCTGGGGGAAGGAGCCGCTCCTGCTGAGCCGCCCGATACCCCCTCTGCCCGGAGCCTCAGCCTTCTACTTCCTGTGCAGCATCTGGGTCCGGAGCTGGGGTTTCTTCCTGCAGTACTGCCTGGAAAGGCGGCGAGGTGAGCTGCTGACTTTTCCTCCCTCAGCTTTCCTCATGGCCAGGGAGGGAAGAGAGGGAGGGGGCGGGAAGAGAGGGAAAGGGAGGGAGGGGCGAAGGCGGGTGGGCGACAGCTGGCTCCCAGAACTTCCTGGTCCCCGCCTGACTTTCCTGTCGCATGCCTTGCCGCCTGTTGTGGAGATGCCACTGGGGACAGGCCAGGCACCCTGAGCTTCCGGCCCTGTGGTTTCAGTTCCAAGGAGAACCTTGACGAAGCTCCACTGCCGAGTTCTCTTAGGTGGGTGAATACCTGGTCCTCATCTCTGCTCCCCTCTGGGGCTTCCGGTGCCTGCTCAGGCACCAGCAAGCCCATTTCCCATCTTTGGAGCCTGAGGCCCCGGCTGATGAAGCTCTCAAGGGGGCAGCTGGGGCTTCAGCCGAACCCCCAGGCCCAGGTGGAAGCCTCCAGGGAGGCTGCTGCCTGTTGCTGACCCCCTTCGAGTGCATCACTCCCTGAGGCTGCTTCCACAGAACTGTACACGAGAAGCAGACCTTCTCTGGCTTCTCCTCCCCAGGTAGCTTTGGCCAGCACCCAGAAAGCGACAACCAAATGGCCGCTGCTGAGCCTTGGCGGAAGGAGCTTTGCTTCCTCTCGCCCTCCTCCTAGGCATCCTGGGGCCTCTGTGTCAGAGTCAGCCCGCGGCAGGGCCCTCCCCACTCTCGGGAGGCCCCGAGGGAATGAGCATGCCTAAGAGAGAGCAAGGGGGCAGCAAGCCTTTCTGCTCTGGCCACCCTCACATCCGCCTTGTCATCTGTCCGCAGCAGAACCAGGAGGATGGCAGAGAACGGGCAGGCTGCTGGGCGCTGAGCGGTAGGGAGTGGTCTTGAGTTGGAGAAGTCCCCTGCTCCACCAGGCGGTCACACCAGGACCCCGCAGAAGGAATCAGAGGAGGGGGACGGAGATGCAAACGTGAGCCACAGTGATGCACCTCATGTTTTCCCCTGGGGCTTTCGTGTTTTACAGCCGTAGTGAAAGGAAGCCTCCCAGCGCACAGGACTCGGGGGAGATAGGCTGGGTTCATATAACCTGAAACCATGTGTAGGCCCCCCTGACCTTGTGAGGCTGCTGTAGGTTAGAGTTCTTGGACTGGGCCTCCTCGGACCAGGCCCCCACCATGTGCAGTGGTGTGGGTCATTCACTGCCCAAGGGCAGCTGAAGGTCAAGTAGGGGCTGAAATCTAGCCCATACCGTGCTGGCCATCTGTGGGGCTTGGGGCCCATCGGAGGAGTCCTGTCTTCTGTTTTGAATGAAGGTACAACATGGACTAGTTGCACTATGCCATAGACTTTCAGTCTTAGACCTGAGCCTTCCTGTCATATCAGCAGGACTTTGTGCGGGCCCTGTGGCTCCAGTGGCCCCAACTACATGATGTTCAGCACAGCATATCCCCTGATAACTGCACTGTATATACTCAAGTTCTGGGTGACTCAGAATCAAGTTTCCATTGGAAGGAGAAGCTCATGCAGCATTGCCTCTACTGGGGATTGCAAGGTTCCTTCTGCAGCCAAACTAGCATGGCCCCAGGTTTTGCTGATGAACCACATGAAACTACTCCTTAGCATCTCCTGTAGAAGGGGCCACCTCTGGCCTTTAACAAATAATCCCTCCATGTCATAATACGTCTTAAGACTTGGAAAGAACAATTTGCTTTCTCCAAAGGTTTCTCTTTTACCAAGACAAGAAAGGACATTGGCATGGGAGAACAGCCGACTGAGCTATCCAACCACCTGGATCCAGGCCTCTTGCCACCAATTAGTCCTAAATGGCAGCTGGTCCACATCCTTGGTCCATGAACTGTGTAGCTTTACTCCTTTTTCCATTATTAGTCCCATGACATGGATGGTCTTTTTACACATCTTTCCCAGCAACATGGGAAAGCGACTATTCAACTAGTCTTTCATTGAGTTTTATAGTTTGCAGGAGGTAGGAGATGACATATTCATATAGATTCCCTTTAGAGAGATCTAGCACTTTGATAGAAAATGGCTACCAGATTGAAAAGCATCTTGGTTGGTTGGTTAATTCCATTTGATTAGAACACTGGGATGTTTTAGACCAAGTTCTTGGGTTCCAGCCTCAAGTACTCTGAGAGTTGCCACTACTCTACAGTCATAGACCATTTCCTCAGACACAGCCACATCTTGTGGGTAGGTGGTGTTGCCCCAGAGCACATGTAACATGGCTGCATCAGTGCAAATCCATTTCCACCACTGGAACCCAAAAGATCGGAATGCACCGCCCATTAGAGTCTTCACAAAAGAACAGCAGGGAATTTATAAACTTTTTTTGAAGTTTGGACCTTTTATCATATAGATGCTAAAAATCTCAGGAGCTTGGAAGATTTTTCTCCTTCAGCTAGCCCTGAAAACATCTCTGTAATTTGTCCCACATGCACACTTGAGACACTTGGAAGGTGTCTGGTATTTTCTTGTTCTAAATTCTTTGTTAACAGACTTTGCAGAACCACTGACCCAACACTACTTCTGGGATGAAAAGACATCATTAAAAGCTCTTCACAGAGCTTCATTGAGATCATTCTTGCCTTTCCCAATACCCACTTCTTGTGAAAAGCAGCCTGGAGATGTTTGAACATCTTGTCCGGGTACCAGCCTTCCTCTCTCACACCCTCAGCCTACAAGGTCTACCTGAAGGGCCTCCACAGGGCTATGGGAGTTCTCCTCTCCTGCAGTTTGCACCCAGTGGTCCACCTGGCCTCCCAGTACACTCTGGGTTTGTCAACAAAGTCCTTAAACATCCTCTACCCACAGTGTGCACCTCAAAAGCAATAGGGAAGGGTGGGTTCCCACCATTCTCCATAGGGCCTCAGGGGTGGAGAAACTCCTGTAGGCCTTGCCTGAGAGCCTATGGCACCTTCTTGGTGTGTGAAGCCACATAGGCATGGCAAACCAGCCACAAAGACACACCAGGGACCAGCAGGTCTTCCATTCAGCAAGTTCTGATTTCTCATGAGGAAAGGCCAGAGAGAGAGAGAGGACCAAAGAAGAGAAGGGACGAGCACTCATATTTTAATCGTCCCCTACCACAGCTATTGTAATGTTTACATCTAGCAGATTCAAAATCATGTTTAAATTCCGTTAAAATGCATCTAGCTATGACAGGTTGCTTTCAACCCAGAATTCTTAGAATTTATGTGAAAAAGATGAAGTAAAGATATAGATCACCCGAGGGTAGTCAGGTTTACAAGGACCTTCAACAGAGGGGGAAGAAAAGGGCAAGTCAGCATCAGCGGATTTCTGTCCTTTGGCAAGAGGAGTGGGGCCAGTTCCATGCATGGGAGTCCTGTTCCCTGGCTGCCATTTTGCTACTCACTGGTTTGATGTTAACAGTGCAGGCTGGGCCCCATGAACTCAGCAGCTTGTTTTTGATGAGCGAGTGAATGAACGAGACCAAGGCCTTCCTGTACACTAAGCCCTGTGCTCGGATCTTGGGGAGAATGGTAGGAAGAGGAGAGGTGGGTCTGCGCTGTTCTCCAGACCACAGGACAGAACCTCCACCAGGCACCACGGGGAAGGCCCTACTCATTCAGTGCTCTTACCACGGGGTCTCCTATCTGCCACTGTGTTGCTCTCTACCCCCCTCGAAGCTGGATGTGCATGAGAAACAGGCCACTCCCGTACAAGAAGAGTGAACCCGTAGCCCACCTTTACGCCCTCCGTCACAGTCAAGGCCCCGGGAGCTTGATAAGGCCTTGCCCTGGGGAGCACAGGAACAGTGCGGGGACTTGCTTCCTCCTCCACCCTACGGCTACTGCCTTTCTCTCCCTGTCCCGCTCTGCGGATGAGGCTGACGGGGACTGTAAGGGATGTCGGATCTCATGCAGAGGCCACCAACACACACGCCAGCTAGACGGCATCGCCAGGGCCCATGCAGCACGGCCACCTTCTGCACCCGCAAAAGCCACTACAGAGAAGCATCGGCTCCCGACCTGCACCTGCGTGATTGCTAGAGCTCACAGAGGGAAATTTGGAATTTTCTCTCTCTCTCTCTCTCTCTCTCTCTCTCTTTTTTTTTTTAGATGAGCTATGGTTCTGAGCCAATTTATTTCATGGTACAGTTCGATGGCCTTCTCCCTGGGCTGCTGCGGAAGATGCACACGCTGTGCAGCCCCAAGGGCAGCAGGGTCCTTCCTCCTCAAAGCCCCAAGCAGAAGATCAAATGCGAGGCCCGAGGCTGGGCAGCTGTGTGTGCACCTTCTGCAGAGGGAGCTGCTTGGGGTTTGCAAACCCATCCCTAGAAGAGAAGCCGCAGACGCTCGCAAAAGAAAAAGGGTGTATTGAGTGGGGAAAGCACTGGACTCCCTCCCACCCCGAAGGAAACGACAACCAACAACAAAAAAATTGAAGAAACAAAGAAAAACCAGAAGAAACGTTGAGGGAAGAAAACCAGCTGAACTTACCACACTGCGAGTGAACTTTTCTAAGGAAGTTCTACGACCTTGCTCACTTTCTGGCTTTAGGGGGGGAAAAAAAAGTAGGGAGAAAAATACAGAAAAAAAAAACTCTTCAGCTTACATGTGGTTTCCAAACAGCAGCAGCGGCAGCTAACGAACAAAAACAACAGCAAAACAGGGCGAAAAAACGGGAAAAGAGAAGCAGCCAGCGCTGTAGGTGAGAGTCAGCGGGAGAGACAGCGAACGGAAGCCCGCCAGAGATGGTGCTGCCTCTGTGGCGCAGTTAGGAGAGAGGCGTGTTTGCTTCTAAGGGGCCATCGGTGGTGCTGTAGGGCTCGGAGTCGGAGCCTCTGTGCCTTTGCTTGAGCCACCGTCCGCCCTTGGGAGCTGTCTGCTCCCTGCTTCCCACTGGCTGTGCTCGTGGGCTGGAGCCCCTGGTTTGTGTTCCTGAGGCTGCAGGCAGACACCTGGGGGCCCCAAGTGGGGACCCAGAACAGACTCCTGAAGGCTGGGTGTAGGCAGGGGATCCTGAGGGGACATCAGCAAGTGGCCGTGGGCAAGGTGAGGTCATCAACGCCTCTGGGAGTCGGGCTTAGGACTCTGAGATTTTTCCCCACCCAGACGCAGCCAGAAAGTTTGCTCACCGCAGTGACTTCCTACTGGGCCCCTGTTGACTTTCATTCTGCGTCCTTAGAGCAAGGAGGGTCTACCCACGTCCTCTCTGTTGACATAGGGTCTTGGGCCTCAGAAGGAGTGTTTCGGACAGAAAGTGCTCTCTCGGTATGTAGGCAGGTGACCCCTTCTGAGGTTTACGCAGGGCCGGCTACAGGAGGCTCAGGGACCCCCGTGGAGAACTCTTAGTTAAGGAGCCCCTGCCAGGGGCAAGAGGCAAAGCCCTTGAATCCTCTCTCCAGGCCTAGTCGCTCACTACCACACACTACCATAGGAGGAGAGGAGGGTGTGGTGTGCACCTGACGCTTTCCCTAAGTTTCCTGCTTTGCGAAGAGGTTTGGTAGAGAATTACAACCCAAATACTGGCTAGTTGATCCTAGAGCCCTGTTCCAGGGTCCTGAGTCTGAGACTGGGAAATTTGGAGAGTAGAGTCACTCACATGGACACACACACACACACACACACACACACACACACACACCCAGCAAAAATGGAAACCAGAGAGCTGAAGAAGCAGCCAGGTGCCTGTGGGTCTGCAGGGTGCCAAAAGCAGAGGGGTGGGCAAAGGGCAGCCATCTGTCTGTGCGGTCAAGGTCAGAGGGCTTCTTTGTTGGTGGTCACACCCCTATCCCTTCCCCTGGCTGCGGGGAGACAGGACATCGCAGAAGGAAAACACAACACACACACACACACACACACACACACACACACACACACACACACACACGACACACCATGGCAGAGCCAGGCTGGTCTTTCCCCTCACACAAGGAGCCGAAGGTTACCGTACCAAGTCTCGGCTCTGGGGACGGCGGGACTCAGCTTCCATCCTGTGCGCGGCCCAGGCGGCACACACTCGGCTGGGGTCAGGCTGGTCCTGGGCCCTGCAGCTAGCACGGTGTGCCTGTCATTCTTGTCCTATGGCTACTGGGTTGCTGCTCACAGAGGGTTGCCATCGGCCTGACTCATTCGGGTTCCTGCCTTGCATGTCCTGGAGGAGCCCTCGAAACCCAGCTCACCGGCCCCTTGAGAACCTGGTCTGCCACAGCAGCTAACCTTATCTTTGACAATATTAGGACAGAGGATGAACTAGGGATGAAGGTTCAGGAGGCTGTGGTTCCAGACTCCATCATGAGATGGAAAAGCAGAAAAGTGGGGTGGGACCTAGGTCCCCTCTCGTAGCTAGAGCGTGGGACCCTCACATACCTTTATGACCTGGACATTGATATCACACAGCAAGCCAATCTCTGACATCAGGGTACTTCTAGGCCTACCTGAAAAATACCGAGTTACAACTCCAATCCACACCTGGAGACTCTCAGGGAGAAATGGAAGAAAAAGTAGGTATTGTCACTGTTTTTTGGAAACAATTAACCCCTGGATATTGCAAGGGTGTTGGCATCTGCAAGAGCTTTTCTGCCAAAGAACATCCCTTCATTTGGGGGCTGGGAGGCTGATTCTAATCAGTTTCACATGTAACATTTCACAGGCAAGCCATGGGTCCCTTCCTCACATGAGGGATCTCCTTTGAGAAGTTCTCCCCTTATGGGAGGACCTGTGGGCGCAGGTGTATCAGTTCCACTCCCTGAGCTGGAGGGTGTTTCCCCTTTGTGTTCAGACCCATAAGAGGACTGAATGGCCTCTGGACTCTTCTGTGTATGTAGATGGCTCCAGATGAGCCAGACTGCTAGAACCTTAGAATTTTTCCAAACTGTGATCAGTTCAGGGTCTTGAGCCACGAGAAATAGGAACATTCATTTTGACCTTCTCCCATGAGATCTGGGTTGGAGATACCAGAAGTGTCCATAGCTTTTCTTGAAAAAATGGGCATCTGATGCTCCCCTCCATCAGAGCCCCAATACCTACACCCTCCTGCAAGGGAGCTGGCAAGAGGCCAGGCTTCACATTTTCCATCAAGTAGTGACACTTGATGGAAGGAGTGCAGGCAACCAATAAAGCTGGGTTTCTGACAGTCTGGGCGTTCCAGAAGTCCCTTTTCCTTCCTCAGACTCTCGGGGATATTCTCAGGGCTACCTAAGGGCAGGAGAACAGGATATAAATGTTTTTCTAGACTCTGGAGTTAAGAGGGTACCAACTGGATGCGCAGACAGGGTCCTGGCACACGAGGGAGACAGACAGACAGTACACAAAGAGGGCTGCGTGGCCGGGAGAGGCAGCCGACAGAGGGCGTGTGGGTGGACAACCGCAAGCTTCGGGACTGGGCTCGGCAGGCTGCGAGGGGGGCCGAGGGGATGCCCGTAGTCCTAAGCGGCGTGGCATGGACGTTGTGGATTTGGGTGCAAGGAGAGCCACACTTAACCACACGGGGGCCTTGGAGCCGAGCTGCAGAGCGCAGAAGGTTTGCAGGCATACAGGAATCCCGGACCATCTCTCCTGCCTCCCCTTTCCCAGACCCCGGGCCCCTCCTGTCTCTTCCTTCCCTCCTCCCAGAAATCCAGCTGAGTTCTTCCTGCTTCAGCTGCCCCTCGTCACCTACATGCTGAGGGTCCCTGGGGCCCCCCCAATCCAGAGGCCAAGGGCTGCAGGGAATCATGGCTTGACTCTGAGGGGAAGAGGCATACGAAGCTAGAGTGCAGTTATTTCATGGCTGAAAGATAAGGCAAACACTGTGGGGCATCAAGGAGGGGACGATTGCACCAGTGACTTCTGGGGCTAGATTGGGGATGGGCGGAGGGCTTGAAACCTGTAAGGTTTTCTACCCAGTGAGGGGGTTGCCCTGATCCGTGCCTCATCCTCACCGCTGAGCTGGTGAGACTTTATCTAAAGTCTGGGGTGAAGGGGGCAGGACTTTGCAGTGAGGGGCTCTTTCTGGTTTCCTAAGGGATTCGAGGGCGTCACCGCCAGTCCTGAACTCTTGGGCTGAGCCACTGTGGCCTTAGTATTTGGTCACACTCCCTGCTGTGGGCAGAATGTGCAGGCCAAGGTAATGGGACTTGGAGACAGGATGCCACAGCCTGGACCTTGGGGGTGCACTGGGATGGTGACGATTCTACTCGTGTGTCTTCCCTTGGAGGGGGAGCAGATAGAAAAGGGAAAGAAGAAAAGAGAAAATAAATAAAACCCAAGGGATGATACTGTCATCTGACGCCAGCAGCAAGCAGCAGGTAAGGGTCAACAGTGCTAAGAAAGGCAGGCCTGCCCTTCCCAAAGATCTACCTTCTTCTTGGCCAGCAGGAGGTCCTGGTAAGCGTTTGACCGGAGGAAGCGGGCATAGCTGTCACTCTTCATCAACTTGTAGATGTGTTCCTGGGAAGGACGGAGGCGGGAAGACACAAGAGAGAACAGTCAGCCACTGCTAAGGACGAGGAGTCACAACCCAACTGGCCACTGTTTTAGGAAAGAGACAAACTGGGGTATGCTTGCATGGATCTATGTTTGCTTGTGATATGTTTGCTTTGTTTTCTTTTCCCACCCAGAAACACCAAACAAAATATATTTTCTCCCTTAGAATAAAATCTCCTCGAGGATCATGTCCCAAAGGCTTTGTAATTGGGCCTTGGCGCCATGTCGAGATGCAATATTGTTTAATGATTAAAACCACAGGCACAGCAGTGAGAAGAAACAAAGTACTGGTACACCCAACCACTTGGGTGGATCTCGAGGGAATTATGATGAGTGAAAGAGCCAATCCCCAGAAGGTTACATAGTGGATGATTCCATTGGTATAACATTCTTAAAATGACAAAGTATAGAACTAGACAACAGATGAGTGGTTGCCAGGGGCTAAGGATGGGAGGGGGTAGGGAAGGGTGTGGTTATCAAAGACAATATGAAGGATGCTTGGGGTGATGGTGCTGTACAGAATTAAACACATACACACATACACACGCAACAGTACAAGTAAAACTGAGAAATCTGATACACTTGGTGGTTGTAGCAATGTCAACATCAGGGTTGTGATATCATACTATGGTTCTGCAGATGTTACCATTATGGGAAACTGGGTAACTGGTACATTTCTGTATGTCTTACAGCTGCATGTGAATTAAAAAGCTTAATTAAAAAAAAAAAAAGAACTCCACAGGCCACGGTGCAATTAGGTCAGTTGTGCATGTTAGAGCCACCCTCCTATCCTGGGAGGGTGCCGTTGGCAACCATTTACAGGGCATGTGAGCAAATACGCCTGCCCTAAGGCTTACATCCAGGAGGGGCAGATGCTGTGGCGTGCTGCCCTCTCTTCTTCGCCCAGGCTTCTAGAGGCATTTGCATTCTGGCCTTGGTGATGGATTTCACCCTTGACTTCCAGCTGATTCTTATAGTCTGCGGGCCCTTCCTCACAGATCTGTCCTCACCAAGGGCAGGGTAAGTCTGGTACCTTAAAAGAGGGCGTTTGTTGAAAAACATTATTTATCAGTCGTGAGGGGATAAATGTGGCTCCGTGGTCCAGAAGAGCCTGGCTGTCCCAAGAGAGGGCCTGTTAAGAGGAATGGTGGGCTTCCACTAGGGAGGATGGGATTGCTGGCAGAGGCTGGCCTGGTAGAGGAAGCATCTTCTCTTATACACAAGCATTGTTCATTCCATGAAGGTGGACAAGGGCCTCGGGGCTCGGGGGAATTAAGAGCTGGTCAGTGAGGAGAGAGTGCTCAGTTGAGAGGTGAGACTGGTCATTAAGGACCTCCTCCTTGGGTACTTGCCTCCCAGGGGAGGATGGAGGAAGGGTAGCCTCCCCTCACCGGGGGGGCACATTTTATAGATGCCTGGCCAGGATGCTGTTGCAACCCAGAGGAACCCGGGGCAATGGTGAGGGCTTGCTGGGAGCCTCTCCCTTCCCACCTCAAAAGAAAGTGGGAGCAGAAAGCAAGCAAGTCCTTGGTCATGAGTGGATCCTTCTCCAACTCATCTTCAGCTTGGGCACCAGCATGATTCTTCCTGTGATGCCCCCATATTTACAAAAGCAGGGTGCAAGCTGGCTAATGGGATGGCCCACTGCAAGGAGCCAAGCAAAATTCAACAGTGGCTTGGATCTGAACCGACTTTGATAATCCAGATGTGGTGCATTTTATAAACTTAGTGAGAACATGCTTCACCTAGTGTTTTCCTGCAAATTTCAGACAAAAATCCAGCCCACTTTAGGGTAAGTTCCTTGAGGGTAGGAACAATATGTCTTTATCTCTTGTATGGGTACAGCGTCCAGCACAGGGTTCAATGTTAGTGACACTGTTGACAGGTTCACTGACGTGCTTGTGTGAGTAACATCCGGCGAGTTTGCAGGCGCCATACTTGTGCTTTCTGCTCACGTCAGTTCCTGCCCTCTGCGTGGAAGGGCAGTGGGGCTGGCACTCAGCTCGAAGGAATCCACATGGGAGCATCTCGGGTCATCTCTAATGGTCTCAGAGCCTAGGCTGAGGCGCTGCATTGGTCTTTGTTTTCATGTGTGGTCTCTTTCAATTGTTCTACCATTTAAACCATAGGTACAAATGTTAATGACTCACTGTCTCTTTCTTCTTGTCTCAGGCATTGCTTGTGTCTGGCTGACAGAGGCAGGTGGCTCCTGAGTCATAGGGAGAGACCTATCACCCATGCCTGGATCCTCTCCAAACCCCTCTCCAAGGTAACTGGTCCCTGCTTCTTATCCTGGCTTCTCAGATGAATCTAGATCCCAGGTCTACCTCACAAAATACCCCTCTACTGCCTCAAGAGAAGTAAGGAGATCTCTCCTGGTCCAGCACTTCTGGCCGTGGCAACAAATTCCACCCCTGATCTAGCTAATTCCTCCACCCTCACTGTGGGATGGAAAAGCCTGGTCCATTAAAAGAAAGAATTTGTCAATTAAAAAAGAGCAGGATAAAGCAGATGTCTGAACATTTAGTCACAGAGTCAGCAAATGTTTAATGAGCATCTACTAGGTACGAACACTCTGTCAGGCATTGAGGTGACAGCCTGAACAAGACAGACTAAGTCCCTGCCGTCATAAAGCTTAGATGTACGAGGCAGGATGGATGCACAAAAGTGATAGGCTACAACTCCCAAAGCAGTCTCAGGTCCCAGCCACTCGTGAATTTTGCGTGGCTCCTTGCAGTGGGCTTACTCCCATCAGCAACTTTTGTAGACCTGGGGATGTATTTGAGCTAAGGACTCCAAAGACGAAGTGTGAGCACAGGGTGCTGGGAATGGGTGTATATGGGATGACCCACTCTGCCAGAGTAGGGTATGTCCCCCCACCCCCTCTGGGCCTCTCTTTCCCACAGTCTAGAGATCCATGACTCTCCCCTACCCTCCTCTGCTCCACCAAGCCAAGAAATGGGGCCTTTAAGAGACCCAGTTATGGAACTCTGTTTCTTCCTCCTTGCCAGCTTTGTCTAAGAAGCACAAAGACAGTAAACAGGGGGTGGGTGAATGGAGCGCTGAGGTTTTTCTGGGAATGAGAATTAAGATGGGACTCAGGGTCTTTGGCCAGTTCCCAAATGCAATGAGTTTATCGCTGCCAGGGACAGCAAGTGTACAAAGCTCTTGGCAGTGACCTCTACTGATTTATGGGAGGTTCCGGTTTGTTTCCCCTGCTCTGAAGACAACCAGTCTTAAGGGAAATGTATATCCAGAATCTGCAAAGAGCCACTGGCAAAACCAGGAAGCCCTCACTGACAAAATTCCTCAGGGGCTAGAGAAAAAGAAGTTTTGTCTTCTCTTTTCTTCTTTGCCTTTTCTTGTCTTGTCTTCTCTTCCCATCCTTTGCTCCTTCCCTTCCTCTTTCTCCTTTTTCATTCCTTTCCTCCCTTCCTCCCTCCTCCTTATGCCTTCTCCCCCTCAAAAAAAGATAGCTGAGTTAACTATGAACAAGCAGAACTAGCAGGTCCACATCTGCCTTCCTGACACATGGGAGGGTGAGGACGGTTCTCCATAGGCTGAGCAACTGACGCTCCAGGGCCCTAAATCCTACTGAACCTCTTAGCCAGAGTTCTCAGCATGGGGAGGGAATCACGCCCCTGTAGCGGCTGACTGTTATAGCACAGCGTTGTCGCCCTGATGAGACATTCCACCCGCGTCTCCCTTTTTGGGCCCAGGGTTGGGATGGGGAGCTCCACTTGCCTGGGATATTAAGGCGGAAGCAACAACTGGAACCAGGAGGGTGTGAGACACATGTGGGCACTGGAAGGAACAAGAAGTGCAAGCTGTCTCAAAACCACACCTGCTTCAAATCAATGTTTTGCTGTGATAGTCCTCATTTGGAAATCTCCTTTATTTTTAGGCAAAACACAGTGACCCTCACAAGCACTGGGGAAGGTAATCAGACAAATGCCTGGGGCCTTGGGCCCCAAACATGCTGGAGCAGCTGACTTACTTAAGAGCACCCTCATGTCCTCCTCTTTGCTGTGGGTCCCTAAAACTGCTACGATCTCATTTCCCAGCTTTCGAACATCCTCCTGGAGTGGGAAACCACTCAACTGGAGCATTGCACAGCTGCCAAGAGCCCTTCTTGGGATTTTTAAGTGTCCTATTTTTCTTTTTGCAGAGATATGGGCCTCATCTCTGCCCTCCACACCCAGACTTCCTGGAACAACATCCAGACTTTGGGGACTGCTGGGTCCATCACAATCCCTTGGAGGAAGATGAGGCTGTGGTGTAGAATGGGATGTTGCTGGGCAGATAGGTGGAAGCAAGACTGGGCTGGGAGCCAAAGGTCCCAGCCACTCGTGAATGTTCAGTAGGATTTAGGGCTTACTTGCGTGGCTCCTTGCAGTGGGCCTACTCCCATCAGCAACTTCCGAAGACCTGGGGGTGTACAGGACCGGGCCCTGCCTATCACACAATTAAATGAGGAAATAGAAGTGAAAGCACCATAAAAACTCTATACATGTAAAGTAATAATAATAATTGGCCTTCATGTTGTGACTGTCCTTGCTAGGGATGACATGGGCGTGAGCCCGAAGACTGCAGGATCCCTGGGGTGGGAGGAAAGGTGAAGCAGAGCCATTATTTGGTTGCTGTTGTTTGCTCTAAAACATTATTTTTGTTGCTGTTGTTTGCTCTGAATCAGTGCTTAGATTGAAACAACCCCAATTTATAGATGTGGATTCTGAAACTCTAAAAAGTTAAGTGACTGGTCCAAGTACAGAGCTAGGATTTGAACCCAGAACTATGTGACTCCAAAGCTCACACTCTTCCCGGGCAACATGTTGCTTTTCATTGTCTTTGAGTTGGAGTGTTGGGGGGAGCCAGCGCTGCGTGACTGGGACAAGAGGTCCTCAATGTGTCGTTGGCAGAAACATTAGGGGTCTCCTCTCGTGTCCTGATCTGAATCATCCTGG